ATACGTCATGTGTTGTGTCGCTCCCGAGTCAACCAACCACACACAGCTTGACTTGGCAACACACGCAGCATCACCAACCGAAAATAAGTAGTTGCCAGAATCATCGATATTATGCGCAATACTCGCACGCTGCGGTCGTTGTCGATCGGCATTCTCGCGGGTTCGCTTGGGACACTTGGCAATCCAATGTCCATGTTCCCCACAGTAGTGACAGGAACCATTCGTTTTTACTGGCGCTTGTCGCCCTTTGCCTCTTCCAATGTCTGTTGAAACAAACGCTTGACCTTGTCCGTGCGCGGCTCTCTCGATACCGCCACCTTGTTCTTTACGCTTTATATCCTCGTGTAGAAGCCGAGACGTCACTAGCTTTTTACGACAGCGAGTCCACTCTTGACTCCAGCACCGTGATAAGAAGCGAGTAAGACTCATTGAGACTTCCAAGAAGCCTGATCACCAAGTCGTCTTCGCTGACCGGAGCTCCCACAGCGTCGAGCTGCTCCGCAAGCGTCTTAATCTTGTTAATGTGCTCCAGCACGTCATCATCTTCACTCATCATCTTCGTGAAGAAGCGTCGACGAAGAAACAGTTTGTTCGCCAAACTTTTCTTCTCGAAATGTGACTCCAGATGTGACCATGCATCCTGCGCGCCGTTTGCTGAGCGGACCAAAGGCAGTTGCGAGTCCTACATCGCGAGACAGATTTTCGCCATAGCCTTGCGCGACTTCCTCTTGAATGTCGAGTTGACGCAGTGCTCAAACTTGACCTCCCCGGAAACAACTTCCTACAAGTCACGTTCCTCAAGCACCATTTGCATCTTGAACTTCCAGGTGTGGAAGTTTGATCCGTCGAACTTGTTGATGCGGCTGGGGGCGGAAGGATCCATTGCGAAGGCGAAGTCGTAGTCGGGGGCAGAGTCTGTGGGGCTTGGGCTCAAAACCTAATGAAAAGGTACTTGAGCACTAGATGGCAAAATGCAAAGTAAGTATATTAAAGGGCCTTAGTTTGCTGCGCTACCTCTAAGCCTATCTCAAATATTCTACCAAATATTCTACTGGATTCTATACTGGATTCACGTACTTTTATGCGCTTGTGGATAGCCTCTTCGCTGGATACTTCACTACTTGGATAGTCCATGAAACCGCAACTAGCGCCATTCGCCTGTA